GGCTTGTTTTGACAGCCTTTAAAAATACACCAGTAATTGCAAATTCACCAACATGTTTCATCTCTAGATTACTTAATCCACGAGTTTGACGATAGGTCTCCTTTGATTCTCGCTTGACTTGGAATTGCACGAATAGTAGATAAAACATTGTTGAAAAAGAAGCAATAAAATTAATTAGTATTCCCACACGATCAACAGATGTCCTGGAGTAGGTTTAATTAATCTAGCAGGGAACATAAACCAAATGCTGCACGTAAGAGATAGTTCCGTTTGGAGTTAGACAGCAAATGTGTTTGTATAAGAAACTACTTAAATGAAAACAGCAGTCGAGAATGAAAGTCCGCACTTCTCAGGATAAGTAAGGGTCTCAGTTCAAGTCTTTTATCTACCAACCTGTGCCAAGTATGGGCTTCGAAGCTGTAGAGAAGGATCGCCATATGTGTACCTTCTTCAGATATTTCAAGTCTTTCAGCCAGTTGTATTATATATTGACGAGCAATATTGTAGTCTCTTGGGCTTATACTGTTGGAGGAATCGATGATGACAACAACATCAAGATGTTCGTTGCAAGGTTTTGGCGGCGGAGGCTCTGGGGTTGGACCTTGAAAAAAACAAAAACCACAAGGTGGTAAATTGACAGATTAGTGAAACTGAAGGAAGAAACGATTATGAGAAAAGAAAGCGAATACACATAAAATGAACAGACTTTTGGTCGGAGCTTTTATTTCTAAAACTATCAGAGAGGAGAAAGGGAGTAGATAAACCAGAACTTTCCATAGCTATAGCATTCGATAGGATATAACATTCATGAAACAAACTTCCGATTCATTTTGTACTTACATGGCTGTGTGTTGCAGGTCTCGCTTTTTGTATTACTTCCCTTGCAGTCTTCGCCATCTCCAGATGGGGGTGGGTTGGTGCATGTTCTTTGTCTCTTGCGTGTACCTCCTCCACAGGTCTTATCACAAGGACCTGGGTTACCCCAGGGAGACCAGTTTCCATCTTCACCTGGAGGTGATCACAAAACCGACAAGAAAAGATGTGAAAGATGGCAACAAATCTCTGACATTTACTGTTATCTTCTGTCAGAAAAGAAACTTCAGGGAAGAAAGAAAGAAAGAAAGAAAAAAAAAAAACGAATAGAACCGAATTCATACATGCTATTCGCTTAACTCGGAAAATCCCTACCGCAACTTGAGTCCAATTATATTGGATACATGCATTTTGGGATCATCTTAAACTCCGCTAAATGTTGGAATTTTAAGACCAGTCGAATGACCTGAACCTTACAACTACTGTCATGCTATTACCCGATACAGATGCTCCTGGAAAGACTTTTTTGTGCTTACTTTATACTTTGTTGATTCATTTACAGGGGAAAACACTAAAATGTCACTCTCAACAAGCAAACAACGAAGAAATGGTAAAGAAAGAAATATATATATTATGAAACATACCACAATCCTGTGTGTTACATTCTTGTTCTTCCTCTGCTGGTCCCAGGTTTTGCTCAATGCAATTTGGTCCACCTCCAGATGGAGGAGGATTGGTACAAGTTCTTGACCGTGTCTGAACTCCTCCTCCACATGTTACACTGCATTCTCCCCAACTAGACCAGTCCGTGTAACCACCGGGTACAGCTAGAGAAAATTGCAAAGGCATTATCTACCTGAATTCAACTCAAATTTCTGTCTAGCTTCTAATTCTGAGTACATTCGTTGGCCATAACTACTATTACATCTATGTGCGTTTAACGCTATCAAAAGATACACTCACGGCAGTCTCCCTTGTTACATGCTTGTTCTTCCTCTGCTGGTCCCAGGTTTTGCTCAATGCAATTTGGTCCACCTCCAGATGGAGGAGGATTGGTACAAGTTCTTGACCGTTTCTGAACTCCTCCTCCACATGTTACACTGCATTCTCCCCAGCTAGACCAGTCCGTGTAACCACCAGGTACGGCTAAAAGAAAATTACAACTCGATAATTAACTTGCATTCATAGTAGGCTAACAAGTCAAATACACTGATACTAGTTGATGTTGCTGTTAATGTTCAAGTTCCCGTACACGCTGAGAACGGCATCCGTATAGTACGCTAGTAGATTACATATGAATGTATATTAGCAGAGCTCCGGCGGCCCGAAGGCCGCTAAGCGGAGCCCCATACTCATAAAGGAAAGAAAAGGAAATCCATGAACTGATTTTTCTCATGGTTATCATGGCTAGCGGTATTGCTCGTGGGCGCATACTCACGACGACGTCGACGGCGATGGCGAAGTCGAGCAAAATTGCAGCCATACTCCAGCTAATAGGTTGACTGACATGCAACCTTTGTTTATAGAGTACTTCTTTGATATTGGACATCCATGTTATGGTCAATTAACACCTGTCAAAGCGAGGTATCCACTGGCCATTATCACGTGACCATATCGTGGGCTCAAGTTGAGAGCTCATCAAGGTCACATGTTTTTTGAAGTTGACCGCTGGCCACAAGACTACTATTACATCTATGCGCGTTTAACACTATCAAAAGAGACACTTACAGCAGTCTCCCTTGTTACATGCTTGTACTTCCTCTGCTGGTCCCAGGTTTTGCTCAATGCAGTTTGGTCCACCTCCAGATGGAGGAGGATTGGTGCAAGTTCTTGTCCGTTTCTGAACTCCTCCTCCACATGTTACACTGCATTCTCCCCAGCTAGACCAGTCTGTGTAACCACCAGGTACGGCTAAAAGAAAATTACAACTCCATAATGAGCGTTCATAGTAGGCTAAGAAGTCAAAAACACTGACACCAGTTATTGTTTACGCAATAAAAATATCAGTAAAACAACTGCATGATCAGCAGGGACTGTTATTGCTGGTAAATAACCAACATATACTATCTCCCGTTTATTTCAACGACAGGGTTTTCCAAAACGCCTTTTACTTGGGGACTTACAGATATGTTCTTGGCAGCGAAAGGGTTAAAATACGTTTTGAAATGACTTTAAACTTGTTTAATTGGTATCTTCCTTTGTCTCAAATTTATTTCCATAATCCTTAAACAAAACAACAAAAAACAACAAGAAAAACAAAACAAAGCAAGCAAAAAAGACAAACAAAAAAACAACAGCAAATCAAACCAGTCTGAAACCACTTTGACCCAAAACTAATAATAATAATAATAATAATAATAATAATAATAATATTTTTTTGAGTAGCCAACTTTATTTTTTGAGGGCCTGATCGTTGGGGCAAGGGACTGTAACCAAGGAGGGAAGGAGGTAGGAGGGGTGTGGGTGGCGGGAAGGCTGGGAACTGTATCATGCGCTCACTACATTTCACGAAACTAAATAACGTTCTGTTCTTACAACATTCATCGGTGTTGCACTCCTTAGACTCCTCAGGTGGACCAAGTTGCTCTTGTTCTGTACAGGTTTTCCCATTATTTTTTGGTGAAGGATTGGTGCAAGTTCTTGACCGTCGTTTAGTTCCTCCACCACAGGTTGCGGTACATTCCGTCCATTCCGTCCACTCAGTATATCCTCCATCGATATCTAAAATGTAAACAAACACGAAGTTACAATTCATGTACATTTATTGCTGATGCAAAAAGAGTTTGTTAGGTCATAATGCGCAGTAACAATAATTATTTTTGTGACACTTATTGCATCTCTTTTAAGTTATACGTTATGTTGTGCTACATCATACATGAAGCGTACATGGTGATCACGAGGTGGACGGTATCCTTTCAACAAAAACTCACTTAATATCAAACTTTATAGTTCATGGCTGACTGACAGAGTGTTGGCCAGTACTTTCCTTCTAACTGTCTCGCCCATGCCGCTACTCTTCCCTCTCGGTCTTTCATGTATAGCAATGTATTTTAACCCGTGAATTCCTGGCTGATGAACTGTGCGTTCATAATTCACAATGCCGGGCGCTCGAAATGCTTTCCTGTTAAAATGTGCAACGGATAAGCACTGCGGACGAAATACTCACTGCAAGTTTTTTCACGAATGTCATCCAACTGGTTGTCCAAGTCTCCAAAATCCTTGGCATTAATCACTCGGCTCTTGTCTCCAGCAATGGTCTCAAGCTCTGATTCATCAGTACTTTTCCCGATGCCAACAGCAACTCGATGAACGCCAGCCCTCTAATTTTGATAACGAAATTCAATTATGTCTTATGAAAGAAAATATTCTACTTCTAAAATGAACTTGTAGTTGCCACTGTACAAGAGCCAGCAGACCCAGTTTTGCCATCAGCTGATCAAAATAATATTATCCCCCTTCTATTAGGATTTACAGTGTAGATGAGTAACTTGACCATCAACGTTTCCAGCAGGTCGGGCAGAAGCCTTAGAAGTTTTGTATTTCTATACTTTTACCTTCATAAGTTTTTCACAGGAACGCCCGTCTTTTCAGAGGCCAAAACTTTTTCTACACAGCATTTTGGAATGGCAGCCTCAGTCCTTTTAACGAACACTCTTGCGCGGACGATCCCGCATGCACTGCTGAGTCAATTGTCATTATCCTCATGGCAATTTTCATACATATAGGCTAAGAGGATCTCGATGAGGGTGCTGAAAACTCAGTCATCAGTTAAAATTGCAGTCCTTTTCTCCGCTATCAGTAAAAGGTGCAGCGCTGTGTCACTCAGCTATCAGTAAAAAACTCTCCATTCTAAGGTTGACCGATTCTCGATCAGTCATCAGGTAAACCCCATCCAAACTTGTTTTTATGATTATTATTGCTTAGATTAGGACTTACACTAAGGGAAGAATAATAGTTCTTATTATTGCAATAATTCTGCCTTCTTCTAAAGCTTCAAATTCTTTCAAGGTTCGCTGTCTTTCAAAGCATGCATGTTCTCACCTCAAGCGTTGGTATCACGGTATCATACGGCTCTGAACTTTTGTGCGTTTTCCCGTCAGTGAAAACGATCATGATGTTCGGTGATTCTGGTCGATCGCCATTCTTTTCAACAAACACTTTTTCGCCGACTGTTTTTAATGCTACGTCAGTCCTTGTAGGGCTTCCTAATTTGTCGTTTTCTTTCATTTCGTCAAGAAGTTCTTCAAGCGCCTCGTTGCTGTAGTACTTTGGATCGTCAAGACTCACGCGAACTTCGGCGATTTTAGCGTACGTCACGATGGAGAAGTGCGTTTTGTCTTCGCCAACATCATACTTGTCAATGAGAGATTTGACCGAGTCCAACATCGTATCATAGTTTCTTTCTCCTACGCTCTTCGTTTGGTCAATAACGATAGCTATATCTAGTGGAGGATTCTCGCAATCGGACGAAGCAACTGAAAAAAAGGGAAGAGCATGAATGTTATCATGATATTTTATGGTCATGGTGAATTGAATCTTTCCTTTTAAGGAGGCGTTTTGGCCTAGTGGTTAGGGCGCTGGATTTGTAATTTGTCATTTGGTGACATTTAGAATGCTGGATTTTCAAACCCTTAGAGTTCTGCCAAACAGTTGCCCTCCGTTGTGAGTCAGTTGGGATCACCAGGTAACATACCGTAAAACCTTAATTCGTGCCGTTTTCAAGATTTTTGAAGAAGCACTAAAAATAAAAAATTACCCGAACATTTTAATGAGAGTGACCTTAAGAGAAAGCTGATTGAAAATGCTTGGTATGGTCCAGAAAAAACTGTATGAAGCTCCGTCCGTGGTACAAACGTCTGTTAGAAATCTTTTGAAATGCTTTTTGTAATACCTAATGACATGTTTCCCTTTTCGTTTTTTGTTTTTTTGATATTATCATGTTGAGTACCTCCAACCTGAAGAAAAATTCCCTTTTTTCGGGCAAAACCTCTCATGTAGTCCATTTTAAGAGGCCCCTCCCCAACTCCTGGGCTATGTACACTACCATCCCTCCCTGGAATAAGGCCACATCTGGACCCTGTATCAGACGCTGTTCGATGGGTGAAAAAAATTATTGACGCGGTTTGCAGAAAATGGCAGTTTACAATAATTTGTAATTTGACGGTTTTTTTCTACTACTTCACTGAAATGCATCGATGCTTGGATAAATTGCTGATTCGCTATCTTATTCCCCCTCCTCTGTGAAAGTGGTACCCCATACGAAAGACTGTGGCCAATGTATAATATTTTTCAGACCTTTCTCGGCAAGCAGTGGGTCTGTCGTGGGATTGTAGAAATAGCTCTTAGTCTGATATGTTGTTAGTTTTAACCCTGGATGGCGAGGCTTCGTAATAAGGTGCCTTTGTGCTGTTACAACCTGGTTCAGTGCTTCTTGACATTAAAAAATGATCTACCTTGAGAGGTTGAAATAAACACTCCAATGAAAGCGCATAGCCACAAGACACTGAACATGTTTGGTCTTCGGCTGCGCCTGCTGAGAGAAAAAAGGAAAAGTGAATACAGTCAAGGAATCACTGTAACGAAATTGCCGATCGTTAAAGCTGAACGATGAACTGTAGCCAAAATATACCCTTTCACGGTTTCTGAAGCTATCTAATGTAATGGAAAAGTGGACAACATAGTGTAACAATTCATGCAAAATTGAATATGTGATTCCTCGCCTGGAAGCTCAGCCGTGTTCTTTAAACTTGATCGATAAAGTCATCTTCTTTGCCAACCAATTTATAAATATTGCAGAAAGTTCAATCATCCTCAAATTAATATTGGGCATCGAACTTTCAACTTTCCGTACGAGGGTCTGTTTAATTGGACAGGTTGCCTAGGTTGAATGGAATCTTTGAACAATAAATTGTTTGGACAGATAGAAAACTGTCAAGCCGCCGATATGTCCAAAAGGGCTCAAGTCAACATGTGAATACATCAGGTTGAACAAAATACTGATGATGATATAGTATAACAATATTATTTCAAAGGTGCATCGAAGAAAAAACCCCGAAATTTTCCAGATCGTTTGTTCACAGCTTAATCTTCAGTCTCTCTCTCCTTTTATTAGGTTACTTTCCTCGTGAACCATCTTTTAAGGCTTTGAAATACTCCTTGGTTACCATAGGCAGCCAACCTCAGTACGTATCACTTTTGGAAATAAAAACAAGTTGTTGCTTTGTAGCACTTTGAATTAAATTGCTCTAGTCAGCTTTAGTCAGTCAGCTTCATTTGCGACTGATGAAAGGTTTTTTCCCCGAAACGTCTCTTAAAATACCATGAAGCACTTTTTGTTAACTTAAACTTAAGCAACCTGTTGAAAGTAATGTGTACGTAACGAATGCGTTAGAAATTTTGCATGGGAAATTCACTTTAGGCCTAAATCTGCTGAAATTAAGCTATTAACGAAATTTGCTCATTTTGGACAGGTTGTGGCTTTTAAGAATTCTCGATGTCGTTAGACAACGTCTCCCTTGATAGCGTTATTTTAGCATATTATTTTAGGCCTAAAGCGAATTTCCATATAAAGTCTACAGTATGACGCCTTGGTGCGTAACATTAGTCATAACAGTAACGTTGTTCGTATGTAGAACAGAGAAGAATCGACCAGAACTGGAGATACAAACTGTTGTGTTTTAATCTACACTCTCGACTACGGCTGACAAGTCAAAAAACGGAAAGCATGGTCTGAACCGTTACCATGGCAATGTCAGTCATGAAACTTAGACCGGAAGCGAATCAATCAATATAGATATCGTTGCATACACCACTAGTAGTCCCTCTTTGGCTAAGTCCGTTGTGCGTAATGTGAAAAAAGCCTCGAGAGAAAACGGTCATTGTTTTTTCTCGTGTTTTCTTTTCACGTCACGCACGATGGACTAAACGAAAGAGGGACTACTAGAAGTCTAAAACCTGGGTCGCCTTTGTGGTTTCTAGGTTCGAGTTTAAAAATCATGTTGAGACTGCCTTATAATTATGTAAACTTTTTTCTGATGTGAAGTTTATATGAAATAATTCATATATGAACTGCGGTAGTAGATGAAAGTGAAGAATGATCATCGCAGTTAATTTTCCAATTTAAGCAANACTCCCGTTGAAGCCCTGATTTTTTCAGACTTCTTCTTTCCAATTGCTTAAATTGGAAAATTAACTGCGATGATCATTCTTCACTTTCAAATTTTTTTCTGTTAACGTTTCAGTGATCATCGCTAAATTAAGAGTTTTGCTAGCCTAGTGTTTTCTTCAGGAGTCGAATGAGCACGGTTACAATGAAAATGATTTTTTCGATCGCTCATTACCCGCCATTACCCAGCTAAGAACCTTGTTAAATTAGTTGTCCCAACATAGCGCTTGAAATGATTCCAATCTAGAATACTTTGGGATAAAATACTATTACTAGGATCTACAGCGGTGCAGGAAATCATAAAATCCCATCAAAGCATTTCGCCGATTTGGTCAAGGTTTCACTTCTTTGTAGTTCGAGCTTTCATGATTTTAGACTTGCGCTAGGATGTTTGTCTTAATTCATTCTTGCATTCTGTTAACGCTCGATTATTAACATTTTAATAAAGTTTGCGCACCGCCTTAGGCAATAGTTTGTTTTGACTTATCGATGTTTTCAATAAATGCCACTCTAATTCAATGTTAGATTGGCAGCATACCGTATCTTAGTAGTTCGCTTCATTTGTGATAAGATTGAAGCTGACTAAGCCTGTCCCAGAATTTAAAATGGACTTTATACAAATCAAATGATTATCAGTAATGGTGCTAATTAACGGATCATTAGATTATATAACTGTTTCAACACGCTACATCCTCGACAAATCAGTGGAGGGTAATTATCATTCTCTTCTACCGAGTTTGCAGCTAAAGACGTCGCCACTATTCCTTTACAAAATCGTTAAATGATATGTAAGGCATGATTTGAACAGTGACATAACGTTCTTTTATTTCGGGCGAAATATCGCGCGTCTACGCGACCTAGGTGTGTTGGCGAGTTTCTCGGTAGAGTGTCTAGCCGCGAGGAAACCTTACTTACAGTCGATCATATTCCTCGACAGGAGACCCGGAACCGAACTTAAGTTGGACATACAACTAAAGATGCTGTAAGCTAAACGCGCATACCTCACTGAACTGCGCTATGCCTAATTCCGAGCTCATCTTTTAAAGGGCGTGGAGGACATTTGACTGACGCTGAAGGCAGCATTCGCTGTTCTCATAACTTTAAGCGTTGTCTGCACTACAGAGCTAACATTCTTATAAGACTCAACCATGTTTTAATGTGTAAGATAATCAATGCCTTACCTGGATCTTTTGCGTGAGAAACCCCTTATTTGGTTTCCGATAGATGAGTTGACCGCGCTCTGTGTCGGTAATGATCACGACTGACTGCATTGAGATCAGCCGGTATTTATGAACTGAGCGTAGGAGTTATATTAAGCCACTCCCATTTTACTTTATTTACCCTTTTGTTCTTTTCATGGGCAGTTGGGTTTGGGGAGTTGTCATATAGATATCTCCATTACAATAGATAGTCTTGTGCACGTTTCTTACTTTACAGACATTCCGATAATCTAAACACTAAGGAAAAGAAATTCTGATTTGTTTCAGTTGTTCAGAACATGACTAATTGCAAGAAAAATAGATCTATGTGTAGGATTTAAGAAAAGCCTAATAATGCCCAAGGCATTCATGATCAACAAACTATGAAGTTATGGGCGGAACGTTGCTTTTAAATCGGGCGTTTCTGTTAATGGCTCAGTTTTCAATTAAATAAGATACTTATCAGTTGGGGAATTCAAACAACCAGCATCTAATACAATGGAAATAANCCTTCCCGATGCCAACAGCGACTCGATGAACGCCAGCTTTCTAATTTGGAAGACCAAATTCAATTATTTCTTAAGAAAGTAAATGTGCTACCTCTAAAATGAACTTGTAGTAGCCACTTTATTCGAGCCAGCAGACCCAGTTTTGAATTCAGCTGGTTAAAATAAGAATATACATCTCTCATCTATTATGATTCACAGTGTAGATGAGTAACTTAACCATCAACATTTTCAGCAGGTCGGGCAGAAGCCTTTTGCATTTCTATATTTTTACTTTCATAAGTTTTTCTCAGAAACGCACAGCTTTTTGGAACGGCAGCGCTCCCGCATGCACTGCCGAGTCAGTTATCATCATCCTCATGGCAATTTTCATACATATAAGCTAAGAGGATCTCGAAAAGGGTGCTGAAAACTCAGTTATCAGTTAAAATTGCAGCCCTTTTCTACGCTATCAGTAAGTTGCATTGTTCTGTCGTTCAGGTATCAGTAAAAAAAACTCGCCATTCTAAGAGTGACCAATTTTCGATCAGTCATCAGGTAAACTCCATCCAAACTTGTTTTATAATGATTATTATTGCTCAGGTAAGGACTTACACCAAGTGAAGAATAATGGTTCTTATTATTGGACTTATTGCAATAATTCTGCCTTCTTCTAAAGCTTCTTTCAAGGTTCGCTGTCTTTCAAAGCATGCATGTTCTAACCTCAAGCGTTGGTATCACGGTATCATAGGGCTTTGAACTTTTGTGCGTATTCCCGTCAGTGAAAACGATCATGATATTCGGTGATTCTGGTCGATCGCCTTTCCCTTCAACAAACACTTCTTCGCCGACTGTTTTGAGTGCTACGTCAGTCCTTGTAGGGCTTCCTAATTTGTCGTTTGTCTTCATTAGGTCAAGGAGTTCTTTAAGCTTCTCGTTGCTGTGGTACGCTGGATTGTCAAGACTAACGCGAACTTTGGCGTTTTTAGCGTACGTGACGATCGAGAAGTGCGTTTTGTCTTCGCCAACATCATACTTGTCAATGAGAGATTTGACCGCGTCCAACATTTTATCATAGTTTTCCTCTCCTACGCTCTTCGTTTGGTCAATAACGATAGCTATATCTAGCGGAGGATTCTCACAATCGGACGAAGTAGCTGAAAAAAAGGGAAGAAAACGAATTTTATCATGATATTTTATTGTCACGGTGAGTTGAATCTTTCCTTTTAAGGAGGCGTCGTGGCCTAGTGGTTAGGGCACTGGATTTGTAATTTGTCATCTTGGTAACATTTAGAATGCTGAATTTTCAAACCCTCAGTTACAGTTCTGCCATTCCGGATTTGATTTTCAGCAGTAATGGCCTTGTTGATCATTGGCACAGGCCAGTTGAATAACCCAACAGTTGCCCTCCGTTGTGAGTCAGTTGGTTAATTTGGTCATCGTTTGATTTAATATTTAGGCCCGAAACGTCTGCTATATAATTGAGTTTATTTGGCACCTTTGCGGGTAATTAAATCTGTCACTATTTTTGTCTCATCAAGTCCCATTGTCACATTACAACTACCCAGAATAAAAACTATTCCGTATCCAGTTTTCCAGTAACATGCGTTGCATTGATTCAGTAATAGTGCTTTAATGTCACAGTCACTGTCTTAAATGTCATTTTTTCTTTTGCTTGAATTGAATTACCAGTTTCGATGGTCTGTGGAACACTAACTTGCCTTCACGTTGTTAGTGTT